ATGACATCGTCAGCTGGACGGTAGTTTTGAATTTAACCAATCTTTAGCCTTTTTCTTAGCCAACAAGACGGAACTCTCCCACGGAAAAGAAGAAATTCTGAAGTGTGGATAATCGAGTCTGGTATGTAGGCCCTTAGTGATTATTTCCTGCCTCTGCCATTTTTTTTGGATCTAATTCTCGACTGAGAAATGCAGTAAATTCTAAAGACCTATTAAGAAATGTATGTATGCCAGTTAAAAATACGCATATCTTAACAATCATTTATCGCATTCAAATTTATCAAAACAACAACAACAACAAAAAAAGGACTATTGTTAGAAAGAAAGAAGTTACAGTATACCACTATTACCCGAATCGATTATTAACTGAAGTTTTGGAGGAGAAAGAAATCTAAAGATAAAACAAAAAACGTATAGCAAAGTTAAAGTTATGAGTTTTACTTAGAGCATTATTCGCAAAATAATATAGTTTGAGTGTTTTTAAGTTTGATTTGTATGCAGTAAAATAGGCACAGCAGACTATAAAGTAAAAAAAAAAAATTAATATAGTAAAAACCTCATTAATTCGAAAATTTCGATAGGAAAGAGTCGGATAATCGTTAAAAAAATCCAAAGAAAAATAGTAATTAAATTTATTTAATTGGGTTAAACAAAATTTTATATTATACGTTTTTCGAATTTTTTTTTCTAATTACTTTACATCCAAATTACTTTGTCTGAGTTTCGTATCAAGAGTAGGCCTATTTATAACAATTTTTTTTTTGCCCCGAAATATTTTTGCGTATCTATAAGTAATCTTTAATTAATATTCTCGAAAACACTTTACTCCTTAACTCGATTATTTTCAGACGAAGAAGAAAAAGGTAACTCTAAAAAAAAGCTGTACGATAATGATAAGTTACAGATATCGAACTACACTTAATAATTCGATAATAAATAAGCTCAGATAATATGTATACACTTCATTAGAAATGTTATACGTTTTTATTAATTTACTTATTCAAATGTCGATAACTGAAGTGTAAATTTCGGATGAATGAGGTTTTAACATGAATTTTTTTCTCTTTGAAAAAATGATTATTAAATTATCATTCGCATCTCTACTTTAAAATAAATGTCTTAAAATAATTTTTAAATTTAAAAAAAAAAAATCAATATAATTTTTCAAATAATGTATTAAAATGTTATTATTATTAGTAATATTATTTATAAAAAGTTAAAAACTGTTTATTTATTATAAATTATGATTAATATTCGTATCAGGCAGATATTTTTTATTATTTAATACGCCTTAGCCTACATAATATTTGTAGGAGTTTTGATTATGCAATAATTGATTACATTAAACAATTGTAAATGTATAAAAACTTTTAAAATTCTTGTTTTATTATTTAATAATAACTAAATATCTGCTTGATATTTGAATTAGATATGTAATTAGATAATTTAATGATTAATAAATGAAGAGAAAAATTAGGAAGAGAGAGGAGAAGAAAGGGACTTAGGTTTGGGGTAATGGGCCCTATGCCGATGTTAAATATTACCAACTGTTTCGTGAGAAGAATTAAATGAAGAAGATGGGAACAATTCAGCAGATGAAAGATATAAATTGGCTTGGTCTGGATTAGTAGTGTTAGACTTTTCGATGAATTTTCCGTTCCATTCTTCTTTCTTACCGGCGCTGGACCTCCCTTTGGTTCTCTGCTTCCCTGGTGATGTCGACGAACACTGTAGAGAATTCTTTGCACTTAGAAGAGACGATGCCGAATGGAAAGAGTAGGGTGATGCTGAAAGATCGGCCGAGCTTGGTGGTCCACCTGCAGGAGGGCCCGTTACGTAAGGGGGATGATAGGGTGGCATGGGATGGGCTGTCTGATGGTGCACAGGGCTAAGGGAAGATGCAAAGGCATTACTACCTTCACGAGGTTTGTTACTGGAGCAGTTAGTAAGGGCCGATCCGAGAGTTGTTATCATGCTGGCTGTTGGACCTTTGTCGTCTCCGACGGACACCAGAGACCCCGAACTGGGACCGTAATCGGCTGAACTTCCACCGTTGGTAACATTATCGGGCGTGGCGTCTTTAGGTGGTGTGGGAGGAAAACTGAACAGATGAGGACTGGAATGAGAAGGCAGTGAACTGGCGATAGAGCTGGGAACTTGTGGTGGAGCTGGATGGACACCCAAGTGACCACCTGTAGGACTCGGATGATGTGGAGGTTTACTAGTGAAAGGTGAACACCAGGGAGTTCCATGTGCGGGATGAGGAACCATTGGTTTCGCGTCCGAGATCCATGGATGAAGCGGAGAGTGGAAATGAGGTCTGCACATTTGACTCGTAGACATTCGTGCTAAAAAAAGAAAATGATTTAATTCTTAATTTGTTAATATAATTAAATATCTACATTGAATACATAAAGGTTAATAACAAATAATGGAAAACTCCAATAAAGCAAACAATATTAATGTATCCTTAATTATAGTAATTTGATAATCGTAAATGCAGTTTTGGACTATATAGGCCTAGGCCTAATATATCTTATAGCTGTTTTAAAAATACTCAAAGTATACGCTACATATTTCCTTTGATTAGTGAGAATATTTATTTGAATTTATACAAGTTCAATGGTTATCCAAAAATTGTCTAATTTATAGTTGTATGAAATCTTTGAATACAGTAATATCAATCTTTATGTCGCTGTTGATATACTACTTTACAGAAATATTGGTATAAATAGAGCTCATATGCTAACTTTAATATTGTTAATAAACACATACAAAATATGTTGAATGTTTCGTTGGATAAATTGGATATGTTAGACTTGTTTGTTAAATATAAATAACCGTAATTTATTCAGAAAAGAATATTTACTTTTACAGACGAATTTAGTTCAAGAAGTGAAATATTGCACGTTTATTGCCTTTTAATTTCAGTGAATGCAAAAATATTTTCTACACGAAGAATTCGAAACTATAAGACAAAATTCTATTCCATATGCTCAATTGCATTACAGATTTCTGATAATACTAACTTTGCATCCAGTGACTATCTCGATAAATATTCTTAAAATACAAGAGAAATCGCATTCCAACTTCAGGTGGAATGGCAACATTTCCGACAACATGTCTATAATTTATCGTGCTAGTTCTGCATAGTCAGCACGAAGTCCCTGACAGCAATGGACTTTAACTGTCACCAACAAACCCAATACCACTAAACCTGCCAATTCCAGCAATGTCATTCTTAGAATGTTCCTCTCGTGTGACAAGATGAAGATTATCTCTTTTTTTCGAGTCGCAGGAAACAATCCGAAACACAATATAAAAAGTTTCCGTTCAACTGTCTGAGAGCCATTTTCCACCGATCGCTTATGAAGTATATACGTGAATTCAAATATTTTTTCTTCACGTAGTGCATTACTAAACGTTTTAATTGTTTATTATTAAATTTGAGTATTCAAAATTGTCGTTCAAATTTTATTTAAGCACTTATTTTGAATATTAAGTGTATAGTCTAAGACGTAAAATTGCGAAAGAACAGAAAATGCAAAGCTACTATTAATAAGAATCATTGATCAATAATAGACTTTGTAAAATGACTTTGACCCGTTTAATATTTTCTAAAAAGTTCAAAATCAAAATTTATCTTTATTTTAATAGAATAAGCTTAGACTATTTATATAACAGATGCTAATTTGAATACTTAAAAAAAAACTATAAAGATAAATATCTTAAATAATTAAAATCGAGCCTTTAGGGCAAAACATTATCATTACGGCTGTATTGACTTGGAACTATGTCAAGATTAAGTACGAAATTACAAAAAAATAGACCATTATTGTATCAAAACAATATCGTAAGCCTATATATCAATTGTTATCAAAAAGTTGTTTTTGTTATTATTCAATCCTACCAATTTAAATTAGCTAATAATTTGCATTATAACCGATTATTATAATGCATAATTTAATCATTAATGTTATTTAATAAAAGTGTAATAGCTCATTTGTCGAAAATTAAGAGTCGTAACGGTAAGAAACTAATGAATTTTTTAAAAAATATGTGTAAGAATAACATTATGTAGGAAAAATAAATCTCTTCAAGTTGTGAATCTAAATAGAGGAAGATATTAAAGACCAGTATAATGATATAAACTGGGTCTTTGATATTAGAACAAATTTAACACATGACTGCAAAAAAGGAAGAGAAAAGAAGAAAACGTGAAGAAGATTTTGACCCGATTTAATTTCATTTTTTTCGTACGGAATTGTCTTCTCGATTTTTTATATTAATAGATCTTGAGAAGAATCTATATCGGTAACATTTTTGAATATTTCGGGATTCATATTTCCTAAAAATTACTATCATTAGTATGAAGTGATGCCTGAAAAAATATAAAATAGGTTATGCCAGTTGTCGAAATATGCCACATGATTTATTACAAGTATAGGCATATGCAATATATAAACATAGCTTATATAAGACTGCATAAACTATTAAAAATACTAAACTTTGGAATGATATTTTAATAGAATCTTTATTTAGTAAACTATTTAAAATATCAAAAGAAATTTATAAAGTATTAATCATTTTATATAATAAATAATTTAGAAAATAATGCACTTAAATAGGTATAAAAAGCATTTTTCTATATCGAAAACAAAAATTCGAAGAGAAATATAGTAGCTATCATATTGTAATGAAAAGACTAAAAAATCTAAGAAATATATGGAAAAGAGCATTAATAATAAAATATTAATATTGATTTATCGGTTAAATATTGTAAAATGTCTAGTATAGTAGTCTGAAAGACTTAAAGATTATACATCGGCAGATTAAAGTCTGCCTCATTTCCGTAGGACCTCTTAAATCATTAGGCCTACAGTGTGAGAGAAAATAGATTTTAGTAATGGCTTTATAATTAGAAAGATTCTAGCTATAAACGCTAAATAAATTTACAATTAAATTTCGTTATAAGTTATTCTTTAGTAGTTTTCAACAAAATATCTACAGTTATTGCTTCTATTTCAAATGAGGCTTATAATTAATTATTTAGCGTTAAGTACAATGATTTAATACGCCTAGTTTATTTAAACAGTAAGTAGATTAAATACATAGAAGATTTCTCGATATATACGAGATTAAATACAGACAGACCTACATTAGATAGAAGTATTAGAGTATTAGAGATCCATAAACATAATTTAACTTGCGCCGACTCCAAATTTCTCAATATAAATTGTTTTATTGATTAAAATTAACAAATATCTTAAATAATTAAATCACAAAGTTATAATTTATTAATATAGTTCTAAATAAAAATAATTAAAACTTACAAAGCACATATTCCGAGTAGTTAAAAGTTATGCAGTCTTTCGAAATTTTTCATCTTTGGATTTGTCGGAGTAATTTTTTTTTTATATCGGAAAGAACACCGTTATAAGAAAGTTCAAAACATAATTATATTTTCGATATTAAAGTTTTGCAATATTTCGAACTCAAAAATAACGTGTTGGAAATCTTAACTCGAATCTGAAAATAATCTTCCTTCCAAAACTCCTACTACTGTTATCATAAACCGTTAAGTTAGACGTATTGAGTAATAGGTTGGTGCAGATAACATTTTCCTCTTAACAGTCTATAAAATAAAAGTAGTAAGTTAGTCCAGCGGTTAACGCTTAAAACGACAACACCTAGTAGATATCAAGGCCTAAATACCACAAGACGAAAAAACCGTCTTCCATAAAACACCATTAAATTACATTTTGCCTATTGCAATGATAGGTAAATATTAAGTGTTACGATATTAAGCGTGTGATTTTGTTACAGCAAGTGTTGTCATCGATCTTGCATGTTCTGTGACTCTCCCTGAGCGTAACTATTGAGTTGTATGCAGCCACCTCTAGCGCACACAGCGGGCGGCCGGTAACCATCTGTTCAGCGCCAGTAGCTCACTATATCCGACGCATATGATGAACGACTATATCTGCAATTAGCAAATTTTAATATTATTTGCTCGTTTAACGGATAATACATCAAGTATCTTGTTAGGGTGATCAATTTTGAACAAAAAAAAACCATCTAGATATATAAATTAAATGCGCATAATCTTTTATTGCTGTATCGTAGCAAAATATTTTTTCTTGGAGAATAATTCTTAATTTTTAAGTACAAATTTATTTATTTACATAATTTAAATAAATTGTTTATTTTAATATATGTTTTTATTAAGTATTTNTTATATATTAATGTTGGAAATGACTTTTAGTTGACCAAAAAAAAATCGATGATGTAATTTTGTTATAAATAGGGCCTACCTGACATGCTTACAATAGCATTTTCAACGGTTTTTGTAGGCTTTATAACTAAAATGAGAAAATTGTCTTGCATGAACCGATGCGAAAGTTTTAAACAGCTGGTTTTTCTAAACCAGATGCTCATTTTCGAAAGGATAAACGCTTCGAGAATATTAAAGAACTGACTAATATAATGAATTTCTATCAAAATTTGAATAAAGTGTAAATTAACGAACACGTTTTCAGCTTTTCATAACATTTAAATGTGGAAAACGATCAAATATTTTATATATTTTAATGGAAACATTAAGAAAATTGCGATAACGTTTTTAAAAAAAAAAATTTAGAAGATCGAGTTTTCTTGGCGAATTCTCGACCAAATTCAAAATGACTAATTTCATTCGGAAAACTTTCAACCAAAACGACTGAGTTTGCGTACAATGAATCGTAAATTCGGAGAGGTCAAACTTTTACAGGCAGATAAATAGTAGAGTTGGCATACCTTTACCGAAAACCAGTTTTATTTATAACATTTCTGCTATTAAGAAGAAACTATCCTAAATGGCATCCTATATAGTTTAAAGTCTTACTAAGCCAACTTAAGGTAAACTTAGAGCATGCAGCAGATCATACAATAAAAACATTCATGCAGAGATAAATGACTAGTATCATGCTTTTATATTTTAAAGGGCGCCTGCCTCTATGCCCGTCCCCTTCTCAATGATTATATAAATTACAAAACCCCTCACCGGCACAAACGGGCGACGGCCGGTGTTCCCCACTTCTGTCACCGGCAATGTCCCACCACAGTCCGCTAGCTGCTGAGCCTTGCTTCTCCCCAGAACCGCACCACCATCTTGCCGGGATAGAGTCGGTCATCCGTTCCGAGAGGCAGGCTTAAACGTACAACAAACCCATCAGAATATCATAATAAATCATCAATTATTAATAAGTATAACTATGCTATAACAATAAAGGTTCTCAAATTGTGTAGCTTGTGCACACGTTTATACAAAAATCCATGTCGCTTTCTTATTTCCTTACGCCTTCTCATAAAAATTAAATTATTTTCTATAATGAATATGAAACTTAAAGCCATCATCTAGTATTGGATTTTTTGAAAATTCCTTTTTCAAAATGATATATCTTAACGATGAACGAACTCAAAAACTAACCGCATAATGGAGATGTATTATAATAATAAGCTAAGTTTTTCAACTCGTCGATTTTGCGAGTTTCATTACGAAAATAAAGTCAAAACTTTCTTCAATTATGTGTGACCTTAACGTAATATTGTAGTAAGCATATTTATATTTAATTGTTGTATATTAAAATATTTGTTTTCACATGCTATTTGAGTAATGAAAAATTCGCATCCCGAAATCAATGAAGCATCTTGAAGTATTTTCTTCGAATTATCTGCAAATAATTTTCGTATATTAATGAACAGAAATTGTTTATATAAATATATTTGAATTGTCCTAGTTGTAAATAGGACATGATAAATTTTTTTGTGAACATCTGCAAATAGTTGCATGTTTTGATTTTAATTGATTATGGATTGCTATTAGTTTTTTGTTGGCTAATGTTTGAAAAATTATAAGCCTCTATTAAGTCGTTGAATAATAATTTATTGCAAACCGTTTAATTCATTCGATTTATCGTGTCTTAAACAGCGTGCGATATAATTACATTTAAATTTATTCAGAATTAAACACTTAATATGGATAAGGTCTATTAATGAGGTGTGTTTGACATCTAGTAAGTATTTAGCTCCCTCCCTATTTATCTCTGCTTCGAGTGTAATTATACACCCAAACGGCGTAGAATTATTCGGCGAGAAGTGAGATTTTTGAAAGTACGACACCCTTTAACCGATATGTGAGAGAGGATATAAGCTCGATCGACTTCATAAATTTTGCCATCAAAAATCGAACAGAATGATATTATTGGCATGGGATGAAGCGTTGATTCCTAATAGGAATAAAAGCAGGGGATCGCTATCACGTGGTCCGGACCCACTTGACCTCCGTGACCCGGTATCGCGGACACCTTCTCCGGCCGTGACTGGCTTTGTTGTTTTACAGTCTACGTTTTTAATGGGAATTCCTGATATTGTTATCTTAAGTAGTTGGGAAAAGCTATCAATATTACGTAGCGTCCTTTAGTTGTGGTACCCAGCAATTACCTTCTCTTCAGTTTGGTCCAATCATATCTCATCTCACCCACTTGTACCCTCCTGTATGCTCTAATCGGTGTGGTTATCGCTATTAGCATACAAGAAGACGCTGACAGCCTCACGTCCGACTCGTCTGTAGCTTGTTGTGGAACAAAAATCTAATGATAGATCACCTGATGTTTTGTTGAGCACAGTTTAGATTACCCACCCACCTCTTTAAAACCACTATAGTAGCAAATTCTCAATTTCTCAAATGTAACCCTTAGTACTATTATTTTACATTTTCAGATAGTCGAGAAATTGTTGAATTTACGCTCAACCCCTTTTTTAAAACTAATAATTAGACACCGGGTTTACATAGCGACTTTCAAACTAAATTAATAGGCTTATTAAAATAGAATATAAAGCAATATCCTGTATTAACTTAGGCTATGTTGAGAAATAATTCAGTTTAATAATGTATTCTCATCAGTTCGCAATTGTTGAATTTACTTTGCTGCATCAAAAACTTAAATTTATATTATAAATCTCGTATATTGAAAATGTAAAAATATTTAATTTCTCTTAAGAAGTGATACTTTGAGAGCAACCCATCCATAGTATTTAAATTAATTCAACATAAACGGATATAGAAAAATTATTTACGGGGCATAGTGTTAATTACACAAATCGTAGTAAAAAAAAAAAAAATCTATTCATATCATGACTCGCTTCAGGTTTAGTCGAGGTGATTTAACTCATTGTTTAACCAAAAATGATTAATGTTTTAACCGTGATTAATGTGCTAAATGTAAAATAGTCTTATTCGAGATAACAAAATACTGTTAAAAAGTTAAATATTCTTCAGAAGAATACAAGCTAATAAGCTTTTGGCAGACATACAACACACTAAAGTTCTTTGGCTCTTACAGTTTAAAAATGATAATGCAATCACGATATATTTACCTCTCATTTGTCTTTCCTCTTAATTCCTTATTAATACGTAAAACGCAGGCCTATCTGTTAACTTTCGAATAAATGGATTATAAGAAACTGGTTTTTGATTAGTTAAAAATCAATGTCAAGAGGACGTTTACGGAGTAATTAGACAAGCGTCAAACTCAAAAAAAAAAAAAAAAAAAAATTTCATTCTTGACATTCATCTATACGCATCTTGGATATATAATGACATCGTCAGCTGGACGGTAGTTTTGAATTTAACCAATCTTTAGCCTTTTTCTTAGCCAACAAGACGGAACTCTCCCACGGAAAAGAAGAAATTCTGAAGTGTGGATAATCGAGTCTGGTATGTAGGCCCTTAGTGATTATTTCCTGCCTCTGCCATTTTTTTTGGATCTAATTCTCGACTGAGAAATGCAGTAAATTCTAAAGACCTATTAAGAAATGTATGTATGCCAGTTAAAAATACGCATATCTTAACAATCATTTATCGCATTCAAATTTATCAAAACAACAACAACAACAAAAAAAGGACTATTGTTAGAAAGAAAGAAGTTACAGTATACCACTATTACCCGAATCGATTATTAACTGAAGTTTTGGAGGAGAAAGAAATCTAAAGATAAAACAAAAAACGTATAGCAAAGTTAAAGTTATGAGTTTTACTTAGAGCATTATTCGCAAAATAATATAGTTTGAGTGTTTTTAAGTTTGATTTGTATGCAGTAAAATAGGCACAGCAGACTATAAAGTAAAAAAAAAAAATAAAAAAAATATTTTGTCACTAAATATAACATCCTCCCAGTAACTATCAGACATGAATCTCAAGCTTTTATGACCTCAAATCTGTTTCTCATATGCAGCGGCGGCCTTATCCATTGCGAGGCTCTGGGCGGCAGATCTTTGCGAGGCCCTTGTCCTTTGTGCAAAGTATGTGAATTGAAATAGTAGGCACTCATTAATATTGATATATACTGTACTATGAATTAAATTTATTTTATTGTTATAACTAATAGCCAAGGATAAAATAAAAAGTTTTAAATATCAACTTTTTTCTACTTGGTTGTTGCGCGAGNAAAAAAAAAAAATTAATATAGTAAAAACCTCATTAATTCGAAAATTTCGATAGGAAAGAGTCGGATAATCGTTAAAAAAATCCAAAGAAAAATAGTAATTAAATTTATTTAATTGGATTAAACAAAATTTTATATTATACGTTTTTCGAATTTTTTTTTCTAATTACTTTACATCCAAATTACTTTGTCTGGGTTTCGTATCAAGAGTAGGCCTATTTATAACAATTTTTTTTTTGCCCCGAAATATTTTTGCGTATCTATAAGTAATCTTTAATTAATATTCTCGAAAACACTTTACTCCTTAACTCGATTATTTTCAGACGAAGAAGAAAAAGGTAACTCTAAAAAAAAGCTGTACGATAATGATAAGTTACAGATATCGAACTACACTTAATAATTCGATAATAAATAAGCTCAGATAATATGTATACACTTCATTAGAAATGTTATACGTTTTTATTAATTTACTTAT